GACACAACTTAACAACTAAAGAACAGCAAATTGTGATTGCAACTAAGACCTCTGGGCACCTTATGGTAGCCTTCACCTTTAAAGACAAAAATGCTTCATTTTAAAATTAAAAGGTGGGTTGTGAGGACACTCCATAGTATTGAAAAATCTTTCTCACTCGTTAGTGGGCTCTCGACACAATTCTAGTTTTTTTGTTCTGATGACATCGCTGTGATTTTACAGCTGGTTAGCATTCATGGCTATTTAACACATGCCAAATTGGTGTTCCCAAATCAGCACAAAACAGTTTTGATTTTTTAGTTCAGTAATATTGAATGAGAAATGCCAGGCTTTCGGCCTGAATGCATAGTTTTCTGGATTTAGATTTAGTCTGGGTAGGCATCAGGCTAAATATGGGTCAACAGTGTGATCCCGTGATGACAGAGGCTAATTGCATAGTAGTTCATGCCACTGTTCAGTGGTTGATGATGTCCGATTTCCATGTTATGTCTGTGCTGTTCTTAAGAAAGAAAGGATGGAGACCTTTTTAAAAAGATACAATCTTTTTCATATGGTTTTTATTAACTCTTTGTGTAATGCTGCAGTTCTTTCTACCCTAGTGATAGTGGCAAATATGGGGTGAAGATGATAGTTTTCTAATTGCCAAGGGTGCTTCTGCATGAGTAAGTAGTTGTAGTAGCCATGTTAGTCTGTGCAAGCATGGCAGGTTTTCATGTTCCTTCTTTATGATTTATGATTGCCCCGTTTAACGACAAATCCACTTGACTGTGAGGTTTTTGCTATTGCTTTTGTGATCGCAAAACGATGGTTTGAATGGGGTTTTTCCGCTTTGCGATGATCCGTTCCCTGCTTCGGGAACCGATTTTTGCTTTACGACGATCAAAACAGCTGATTGTCGAGTTTTCAAAATGGCGGCCAGGTGTACAAAATAGCTCCGCGCTGTGTTCAGGAGCCATTTTTCGCTTTACAGGCACCTGGACGGTGAGTTTTCAGCCCATTGGAAGGCATTGAAGGGTTTTCAATGCGTTTCAATTGGTTTTTTAGTTTCGTTTGATGACGGTTTCGCTCTACAGCGATTTCGCTGGAACTAATTAACGTCGTCAAGCAAGGCACCACTGTATTAAGTTCTAAGTTGCTTCACTCAGCAGGTGAAAAACTACTAGAAGGTTTCCTAGAGAAAAAAATGCCAGGCTCTGCATATCTGAAGATCAAAAGATGTGAAGAAGGAAAATGACAGTATTTACCCTTTTTTTTGCATACTTTGTTTCCCTTTCTGGCTCTTTCTGGTTTATGTAGAGACCTTTTCCCCTTCCAGAGCATTTTTTTCTTTCACATTTGGGATTCACTCTTTTCTATGCTTGTTGTTCCTCCTACAGATCAGAAAATTTCTGCCAGAGGAGAACCCTATGACAGCAACAGAGGAGTTAAAAAATACCAATGTCAGGAATGTGGGAAATGTTTTGCCAGGCATTTCTTCCTTCAGTTGCACCAGCACGTCCACACAGGAGAGAAACCGTACAAATGCCAGGAAAGCGGAAGGTATTTTACTTCCACTTCAACTCTTCTTGCACATGAGAGTGTCCACACAGGAGAAAAACGATACAAAGGCCAAAAGTGTGGAAAATCTTTTAATCACAATTTAAACCTCCTGACACACCGGAGAGTCCATACAGGAGGGAAACCAAACAAATGCCAGAAGTGTGGGAAATCTTTTAATCGCA